GTGCCCCTGGCCTTGGGTTTCCCCACTCACCCACCTGACCTGTCCCTGCTCTCGCCCCTCAGGGAGACAACGTGCGCCAGGAGCTGCTGGCCCTGGTGAAGGACCTGCCATCGCTGCTGGCGGAAATTGGGGTGGGAGCCGGTGCGCTCTCCGAGGCCATCGAGCTGTACCAGGCCTGCGTGGAGTTTGTGTGTGAGAGGTGGGCAGGGGCTGGGTGTGGGGCTGCAGAGACAGGCCCCGATCTTTCCTTGTGTGTAGCGACAGCAGGTTCAGCTGGGAGATTTCCCAGCTGGGGCTCTCCCAGAGGGACCCTGAGGGTGTTGGGGGCTCCCTGCCCTGGGCCTGGCACTAATGTCCCCACGGTGTCTCCCAGCTCCACAGAGCAGGTGGTGCCCCTGCTGCGTCACATGGTGAAACGAGGCAACACGACCGTCTATGAGTGGAGGACAGGGCTCGAGCCCACGCGGGTGGAGCGGCCAGAGGTGGAGGAGGTGCCGGAGCAGCCGAAGGAGGATGCGGTACGTCCTGGCCAGCCGGGGCAGAGCAGTGCTGCTGGGGTGGCATCGGGGAGAGCTCGAATACAGGGGCTGGGGAACCAGCTGTGAAGAACCTGATCTTGCCTAGCAGGCTGCAAACACCAGGACTCCTGGGTTTGCTTTTCAGCTCTGATCCTCCCCAGGCTGATGAGGGCCCTTGGGAGGCCTCTGGATGTGGAGGACCCCAGAAAGGCAATTTCTCTCTGCCCCAGCTGACCCTAGAGTGTTAGGGCAGCGGGCATGTGCTGCAGCCCAGAGGTAGCCACATCTTTTGTTGGGGATTTGTCTCTCTTGGGGGTTCTTGCCGCCTTTCTGCGGTGTCCAGTTGTGCAGCAAAGCGAAGGCCTCTTGGGACCACGGGCAGCTTGTGGCCAGGGGACAGTGGGAACACTGAGGCAGTGTCCTCCAGAGCTGGAGAGGAAATGGCCGAGGTTCTGAGCTGGGGATGGGCGTTGCAGCCCCAGGATGCAGCCGAGGCTGTTTCAGAGGTCTCGTTGCCCTTCTCGCTGCAGATTGACTGGGGAGACTTCACGCTGGAGCCAACCATGGTCACTGATGGTGCCGCTGCAGACGGGGGAGCCCAGGGTGAGGAGATAGACTGGGGGATCGAGCTGGAGCCCAGCCCGCAGGTGCGTCACCACCAGCTGCGCAGCCTGGACCTGCTCCTGGCCTGGGCTGGGGATACAGGGGTGTCACATTCGCACCCATCTCACAGGACACCCTTCTTTTGCAGCAGGATGATGGCATCGACTGGGGAGATAGTGAAAGCGATGGGGTGCAGATCACAGTGCTGGAGGCTGGCACCGAGGGTGAGCATGGCCACAGAGGAGCACAGCGGGTCCTGACAGGCTCAGGGACCAGCAGGCAGATGCCCACCCTGCCTTTACGCCCGCTTCCCTGCTCCCAGTGATCATGGGTACGCTGGCTGTGCAAGAAGGCCTAGAGCAAAAGGCCGCAAGGGTGCTAGGTGGGTGCCCAGTGGGTGCAGAGCAGGCCAGAGCAGGGCCTGACACTGCTAGACAGTAGTGCAGGGTGGTGCTTGGCACCCTGCATGGGATGGGGTGCCAAGTTGGGCAGCAGGACCGGGCTGGCTCTGTCCTCTGCTCAGGCAGAGGAGGGGGTCTGGCTGCAGGGCTGCCCTTGGAGCCCAGCCTGGGGTTTGCCCCAGCTGCAGAGATCCCCTCCCTCACCCCTGGCTTGTCCCCCAGTGCCGGAAGGGGTCGCCCGTGGCGCTGATGCCCTGACACTGCTGGAGAACCCCGAGACCCGGAGCCAGTTCATCGACGAGCTCATGGAGGTGAGCGTGGCTCGGCGATCAGCTGGGCCCTCAGCCCTTTGCGGCTGGAGCCCAAGTAAGGGCCAGCTCTGCTGCTGTCCCAAAACCGAGACACAGGGACAAACAACTCCTCACGTGTGGTACCTGGAGCATCCCCCCCACTCCTGCCTGTCCCCGCAGCTGGAGCTGTTCCTGTCGCAACGCCTGGTGGAGATGGGTGAGGAGGCGGACGTCC